CAGGGGGTAAAAATTCCATTTTTATTTCGAGATTTTTTCCAAATAATTTATCAAGTAACGTCAATCACTGCCGTTCTTTAAAAGATCAGCCTGGGGGCGGACTTTTGTTTACTTCATCAGCTGTACATACTTAGATATTGGGTTAGATTCCGTTTCATATTTTGTCGGTTGATTTTTGGTTTTAACTCTATGATTTTTGGGATTATTTATTATTGTAGTGCAAAAAACTAATTATTTTGGTGTTTAAGTGACATAAACCACTACCAGATATATGGTCACTCTCGGTTTCGCATAAAAAATAGAAAAATTGAAAAATTACACGTTGTGTAAGTGATTTAACCTAAAAGTGCCCATACATTTTTTACTCATCGTGATTTTTGTGTGTGTTTTTTAAGACTCTAACAATTCATCAATAAAGCTTAAGTGGAGTGTGTTTTTGGTGCTATGCCTCATCTTTGTTGTGTTCCTGGTGGAAAGGATAGTTATACTAGGCAGCCTAAAGTGGGAAGAGCAAGAAAAGTGGGTACGAGTTATAAATCAAGAGAATTCTATTGAAAATATCTTTAATAAATTTAAAAATAATATTCTCCTATGATAGTATTAATGAAAATTGGACAATTATGTTTATTTTATTCATATTGTGGAATCTCCACTTCAAGTGTTGTTGGTTCAGCTTCGATAGATTCAAACACGTAAGATAAACATGTAAGTAGGTATTATGATCTGGGGAAAAATAAAGAATATGTGTATTAAAGATCATGAAAAAGATTATTATTTTGAGTTCAAATTTTAAAAAAGATTTTTGTAAAGACAAGACTGATACAGTTTAAAAGAAGAGTGTGTTTTTGTTTGATAATATATAATGTATGTCAAGCATAACATATATTTGTTCAGTAATTTTTAATGAATAGTGTTGATTATTTACAATACCAAATTAATATCAAATATTTAAGTGATGGCTGAATACAATATGAATAAAATAACAATAAAATTGGTATATTTGCATAATACTAAATTAAGTTTTAAGAATAAAGGTGTTACTAAAAATACTAAGAAATTCATATTTCTTTGTTTTAATTGGTCTAATGTTATTTACATTTTACGTAAGAATTATACTGTATCATCGAAAAAAATCGGCGTCTAGTTGGCTTGGAAATGAACATCGATGACATTCCCTAAATAACTGTACACATAAAATAATTAACTAGAATTTTACAATCTTGGAAAATTTGATATTCTTGAACCTTCTTTCTAAATATTCTAAATTTTTTGATTTTCTTGGGGTTTAGGTTCGGGAAAAACGCTGATTAAGTTTTCATTTGGTTTTTCATTATTTTTATTTGGTTTAAAAAAAACGTTTCGGCTAACATTATAGGTAGCCTTCATTAGTGTTGTGTCATATGAAAAAAATAGTGTCGAATATAATCCAAAAAATTACATATAAAATATTCACACCACACACATAATGTTTACTGCGTTCTCCATAGTCAATGTAGATAATTTTAGTGTTAAGAATAATAATTTTAAAAAACATGTGGTCATCTTTTGATAAGTTTATATTAGTTTATTAATTGCAGTAAACATTATGAGGTGTGAATTATATTGTATATGTAATTTTTTGGATTATATTCGACACTATTTTTCTCATATGACACAACACTGATGAAGGCTATAGTTGCCGAAACGTTTTTTTTAAACCAAATAAAAATAATGAAAACCCAAATGAAAACTTAAATCAGCGTTTTTCCCGAACCTAAAAATCCCAAGAAAATCAAAAATTTTAGAATAATTTTACATAGAAAATGCCAGCGATCTTCATTTCATAGCCATCGCTGACGCCTTTTTTTAGATAATATTGTATTATTTGTAAATATAATTTTTCGAACATTGATACTTGCAAAATATACATATAAATTTTGTGAATGCAAATAATAATACATTACTATTAGTAGATATTGAATGTTTTTTGTTAAATTAGATCGATTTTCAAACCCCAAAATTTAAAATATATTTACATTTTACCCATTATCTTATGTACCTATACATTATTTGTACAGCTGGTTCCAATAAAATTGAATACGATTTAAAACATATTTTTATTATTTCGGGCAGTATATTCTATGATACCAGTCCCCCATTTCTCTACTCATGTCATACTGACGTTCTGACACAATGACCTCAATGTCACAATAACTTTAACATGTCAAAATACTTGACACATAAATATACACTGCACAAATATTCTAAAAAAATGTGTAAAGAGTCGTATTCATTTTTTTTGGAACCAGCTGTACATTGTAAAACATTTGTTGCATTTGTATGGTTCATAGTTTATTTCCCAAAGTATTTATTACTATAAATAGGTATATATGTTGTAGTTATTAACTATATATTATGTATATTTCATGTAAACTATATCATTTTTAAAATACAAACCAAAAATCTGAGGAATAATTATGTTTTCCATGTATTCTACAACATATTTATTAATCCGTTATATCTAACTAGCGTGACGTCATAAATCTCGCCCGTAGGCTGATCTTTTAATAGAAGGCACTGCGTCAATATTTGGATGAAAATTGGTGTCAGGGAGTTTTTTGACATGAGAATTTTGATTTTGAAGTCACGGCGCCGAATATGTCCATGATTGGCAACAATTAATTTAAAAATCGCGCCCTCGATTACGTAACTAAAAGTTTAATTGATAGGAAATATATTGTAGAATTTTCTGTGGCAAATAGTCAATCAGCTGTTTCAAGTAACTAAAACATATTACAATAAGTGATACTATTTTAAGAATAATTGTAGTCTTCAACATAATGCAACCTCCTGGACCCAAACTACAAACAAGTTAGTTTGGAAATGACAATCGATATTCACTATATAATTTTCCATCTTTAAGTATAATACCGTAATACTCGGTATAATACAGGGTGGTCCGAATTGTATTACGGAAACTTCGGCAGCATATTCTGCAGATAAAAATAAGTAAAAAAGTTCGTATAATGTATGTCCTAAAATGCTTCGTTTCGGAGATACCTACAGGGGGTAAAAATTTCATCGTGACGCTCTCAAAAAACGAAGTAAAAAAGTTAATTTTTTTATTATATAAAAATATTGTTTAAATTATATTTTAACTTCGATTTTAACTAATATACAGGGCGTCTAATTCTTGTGATACCACTATTGCTATCTACCAAACGGCAAGTGTTACAAGATAGGTTAGTTAATTAAAAAAAGATTTGCTTTTTCTGTGCTCATCTAAGATCTTTTTACCGTGTTGCCAAATTCCGTCAGATTCTGAGATACACGGTGATGTAAAAAACATCTACATATACAGAATGATTCTTAAATAAGTGCAAATATTTTATAGGACTGGTAGATCTTGATAAAAAAACATATATTCTCCTTACCGTTTTTCAAATATGTCAAAATAACAGAGTTATTCAATTTTGAAAATTAAAAAAAAAGATTCATCAAGTGATTTATTATTAAAAAATTTTGAGAGCCACCGAATTTTTTAACGTAACCATATAGAGTAAAGCCGTAACCATGGTAATAGCAGAGATTATAAATTAGACCTCCAGAAAATTTGCGATGAACAGGCAGTTCTAAAAAGGCTTTCTGAAATGCCCGATTTTCAACATTTTTTTTTTGAAAAAAAAAACTGATAGACGTGTTCCTGAAGTCGAAATATAGGTACCACCTGTTCTTTGTATTACTATTTTTTATTATATACTTACGGGTCTGTTATTATTATTGTATTTTTTTTTATTTAAAAGGCTCCCAAACATAGCTCCCAAATGTAATGCTGTATCACAATAACCCCAAAAATGATGTTTGTTTTTTACACATATTTAATCAAAGTGGTAAGTGTAATGCATCATTGCATTTGAAAAGTGATAAGCTTTGAAAAATAAAAAAAAACCAGGTCCGTCTTAAAAATAATTAAGTTGATGGTGATAGCCGGAATACGAAAAGACGAAAATAAGAATTGATGGAAACATGTTATAGCGCTTAAAGAATTACAAACTATCAATTTTAAATTGCGTTTCAAAAATGAATTGTTCTATAGATATTATCCGTTTTTAATAAATCACCCTGTATCTCAGAAATTAATATAATTTTGGCAGCGCAATAAAAAGACCAAATAGCCATCAAAAAGGCAACTTTTCTCTAATTTAACTGATATAGTAGCACTTAGTTTGGGAGATAGCAATTAATAGTGGTAGGTACCTATTACATGAATTACACACCTTGTAAGGGTATATTACAAAAAAATATAATTTATTTTTAGTTATTATAGTAGAATTACCGAGACGATTACCTACAATTTTCTTTTAAAACATAATTTTATCCATTTTTGTTTCCAAATGTAGTGGAATTTCATTTCATATCTTATCGTATTTTTCAGACTGTATGGCGCAAAATATGGTAGTTATACAATAACAACACTAAGATAAAAATATTTATTATATTAGTACAATAAGATAAAATTTTCATATCATTTTTCTCAAACAAGAGAGGCAAAGTATAGCACTAAAATTATTTTTAAAACATCAAAATTAACTACATTTATCGGCTGATAATATTAATAATATACTCTAATACCGTTTAAAATTGTTAATTGTTAATATTTATGTAATCAGCGCAGTAGCTCAGAAATTGTTTGATATAAAATAACTCAACAATTGAAAAGTTGGTAAATAATATCATTTCTTTAAATTCCTATTGAATAAGTAAAATTTTCCCGAAAAATAATGTATGCTGCGACTAAGCATACTGTTAGTGGGTACATAAACTTAATAAAGAGGTTAAATTTACACCTACACAATCAAAACATAAACTAAGTTTGTAACAAATTTAAAACTTGTAGGTATATGAGCTATAATATTCTATAGTTCAACAAAACATCTGTGCTACTTAATGCATTAAATAATTCAAATACCAAACTACTTATTGAAAACTATAAATTTAAAACCATTTGGTTTTTTGGTTACCTTGTGTTGTAGGTGTTAAAACAGTAGCTACCGCCAGAAGAAAAAAAGATTTACATAGTGAACAATTCACATAAAATGTCCGTTTCATTTTTAATATTGCACACGTAATAAATTGTCTATTGTTTATAATTCATATTTGTTTATTATTCAGTCAATTCACAAATTTCTACCGATACGCAAAGCAACCTTAAAATCTCATTCATCAACCGACGACGCCATTTTACTAAATTTCCTCTTTCATTTCTTCCGTCATTGTCGGCCGTCATTTTTTTTTGTCAACAAAGTCAACGAGTGGGGAGAAAGAAGCGAGACAAAATATAGAGAAAACAAAGACAAAAATCATTACAGATTCCTGTAAAGGAGGGTTTACTAATCAGAATTCATAACTTCTGAAATAACTATCTATGCTGTAATTTCTGAATGAAATAATTTTTTATTATTTATCTACATGACCCACATAAGTATTCGTATAACAAATTACTTGGATTGTTGATTTTAATGGGAGCAATTTCATTTCATAAAAGATTTTTTCTTGTTTATCATTTGACCACAGAGTAGAATAATTATTTTGACACATCACCACTATGGTTAAAATCAGCTGTTTACATTTTTAAAAATTAAAAACTTAGGTGACTTAGGTTAAAAACTAAAATATTTTAAAAAGTTGGAATTTTCAATTTATTATTTTTTATTAAGAACAATTAGGATTTTATAAGTTTTGTTATATAGTTTGCTTTGTCATAATATATAGTAAATCATGATTAAAGCTATTTTAGTATTTAATAATCATGGAAAACCTAGATTATCTAAATTCTACCAGTATTTTGTAAGTATTGTGTAGAACTATTATTTAAATAATTAAATAATTTTATATTTCAGCCTGAAGATATGCAACAACAGATAATTAAAGAAACATTTCAACTGGTGTCAAAAAGGGATGATAATGTCTGTAATTTTTTAGAAGGTGGAAGGTGAATATTGTTTATATTAATATCCCCACTGGTAACATAGTATATCGAGGGCTAAAAGACAGAACTTCGTATTTACGAAAAATGAATTTTACAGGAGCCAATAAAAACTTCGTACAACTTCCATTAAGGCGATGACCAAAATTGCAAGGTCCTGCCTTTTAGCTCTCGATATGTTATCTGTGCTTTGTCTTGTATTATTTCTTAATTACAATGTTTTAAATTTTAGTTTAATTGGTGGCAGTGACTACAAATTAATTTACAGACATTATGCCACCCTGTATTTTGTTTTTTGTGTTGATTCTTCAGAAAGTGAGTTAGGAATTTTGGATTTAATCCAGGTCTTCGTTGAAACTTTAGACAAATGTTTTGAGAATGTATGCGAATTAGATTTAATTTTCCATGTAGATAAAGTACATTTTATATTAAATGAGTTGGTTATGGGTGGAATGGTGTTGGAAACCAACATGACAGAAATATTAACTAGGATAGAAGATCAAAATAAATTAGAAAAACAAGAGGTTAGTTATCTTGTACTTTTATTAGTTTATAATGTTTAAGTGTATGATTTAGGTTAATTTATATTTGTAATTTTTTTCTAAATTTTCTTGAAGCTTAAATTTAGGCACATAATTTTGAGTTTTAAAACTTTCATAGTTCATGCCGCTGATATTACATATATTAAAAGGTAGTTTTATATAAATTGTTGTTTCTGTATATCTGAGAAGAAACATTTTCATTTCAGTAATTATTTAACAATTAGATATTTCAATTATAGATGTGGACTAGTCATTTGCAAATAATGTCGACATTAAGTTTAGTTTATGACAATCATTTTCTATAACACGTGAGTTTTATGAATCAATTCTTTTTGTTAAACAATGTCAAATACTAATTTATGATGTCCATTTATGTGTTTTGTTTTTAATTCAGTCTCCTACTAGTATTCAAAATTATGTTATAGTAATTTACTTATAGAATACGCCATATATGCTTTTTGAATTCTAAACTATGTTGTAGGGGGCTGTGTAGAAGCAGATATTGTGTTGTAATAATGTTTAGCTGTATATCTAAATATAAATATATTTCTTTATACTTTGGTATATCCTGTAATTAAAACTACACATTGTTTTTTATAGGCTGGAATATCAGCTGCCCCAGCACGGGCAGTTTCAGCAGTTAAAAATATGAACATTCCTCAACAGATCAAAGACATCAAGCTTCCAGATTTGCCCCAAGCCATAAAGGACCTTAAGTTCTGACCACAATTAGGGAACCAGTTTCAAAACCTAGATATAGCTTCAGATCACAATTCACCAGATGCTAGGTTCCTGTTAGAAGATCCATCATCACCTAGGTATACATAATGATCATACTGCACATATTTTTATGCAATTTAGCTATATAAGATTATATTTATAGAATAGGTCATTTTATTAGACTATGTATAACTTTGATGCAGTACCTATAATAAATATATTTTTTATTATTTTGTATTATTAGTTTATTATCTTTAATGTTAATAAATTTAATTAAATTCTTAAGGTAAATAAAACTTATTTGGCATACCAAGTTAAGAGAAATATAACAAATTAAATATTATTTAAGTACAGGAAACATTTTATTATTTTAATTACAAAACAGATGTTTTCCCGCTTGAGTTATTTATGTTCTTATATATATAATGACATTTCGCCTAACGTGGTAGGCATTTTCAATACATATTTATTCTAAAAAATCATATTTGCTTTTAATGTTGTTTCTACAAATTCTATTCGCTATTACTAATATGTATTTAAAATGCCTACCACATTAGGCGAAACGTCGTACTAATATGAATACCTGATTTAAACCTATTAAATTAGTTTGTTAATTCCTATTCTGAAGAAAACTTAGTATAACAAGTGGTTTAAGAAATATAATAAAATAATAATTATTTGTATATATATATATATATATATATATATATATATATATATATATATATATATATACATATATATATATATACATTATTTTCAACAAATAGTTAAACTATAAGTATGTCGATTATAATTTTAAAAAGTTAAATTAATATATTCTAATTATCCTCAGGTGTTGAAATATCCTTAAGGTCCTGCAACAAACAAATTTTATAAATATGTATATTAACTATATTTTAGCAATATTTACATTATACTAATGGAATCTTCTGAAAATATTGAAATTTAATAACATAATTCGTTTTTATGCATGCATAAATACATTTAGTTGTGTCGAAGATGTATTTAGAATATATATTTCAGATATCTAAATTATTTTGATACTTCATCTTAAAAAAAACGGAGAGTTTAGTAAAACAATATAAGAATATAGTGGATAGTAACTCAACCACATTCAAGTTAATAAATATTTAAGAAATATATGATTATAACAATCGTGGCCTAGCGCATTCGCCATTTACCCCAATGAAATTAGGTAAATCGGTGAAAAAAATCCTATAGTTTTGTAAATGGTTTTAAAAAACGATTCCTCTAGACTTGGACTGATATGTGTCAAATGTCCCCGAAAATAGTCGATGACCTCGAGGAGGGGGGAGGGTTTAAATGTCACTTATAACTTTATATGTCGGACAATATGACACCTACAGAAAAATACTTTATAATATATAAAATTGATGCACAGGAAATTCTCTACAAAAATGGTTGAATGCATTTTTTTCATAGGTCTGCCTTTTAAGTGTTACAGTGTTGACATAACACCATTTCATATATTGCGTTTTTCTCATTTAAAATCATATTACAGTCTAAAATTAAACTTAAAAACATTTAACTTTAAATTAATATTAATCAGGATTTTAAAAAAGGCGTCCATTATTCCCGAAGAGACCCGCAGTGGGATTCTGTAAGCTCCGTAGCAAGAAATTTCTTGCCCAGCCTATGGCATTTTTATACAATTGATCAGTCACTAGACAGGAAATATGTTTATACCGTATGATCGAAAAAAAACGGCGTCCAGTTGGCTTAGAAATGACGATCGATGACATTTCCCATATCATTTTACATATAAAATGACAGCGATCTTCATTTCATAGCCATCGCTGACGCCGTTTTTATTCGATCATACGGTAGAATCGCACTGCTGGTTTATAAATCCAAAAGAAGAAAAAATACAAAAAAAAAACGAGACTGAATCTTTTTTCTTCTTTTCGATTAATCAGGATGATATTAAATGACCCTTATGTCATATTATAACAAGAAGACATCAAACGCCTTAATGCATTTGAAATGTGGATGTATCGTCGCATGCTGAGGATAAGTTGGACGTGGAGTGCAGAAGTTTTAAACAGAATGAAAACTCCTGCATAATAAATATCAAAAAGACTTCCTACCTTGAACACACAATGCGGCACTCAGAATATGAAGAAATACAGCTCATAATAGAAGGAAAAATCGATGGAAAATGTAGCATAGGGAGGAAAAAGAAATATTGGCTACGTAACATAAGAGACTGGACCCACACCAACGGAAACACTCTTGTTCACCAAGCTCTGGACAGAGAGTCATATGCTATATTAATCGCCAACTCCAACAGAGAAGGCACCTAGGAGGAGGATGTCATATTACAAGTCTTCATTGCATTCTGAATTTTTGTCTTCCATTGGTAACCATTAGAAAACACAAGACTTTACACTAACTTCAAGGTAAAGATCAATGCATACCTGTCTTACGGTAAAAAAGGTGTAACACTGCAAATATTTTAAAAAGTATACCTAAGCAAATAAAACCATCGATTATGGTTGATCATACATGTTTGTTCCAAGTTAAAGATTGTATCTCTGCCTACAGTTGATTTTTCTAAGGCTGCATATCACGAAGGTTAGTAGCATTTGTTGAGGTTCTCTCGGGTTGTACGTTGTGTATTCTACATAATTCCTTCCTGTAGGTACAATTGACGTAAGTCTAATGTTTACATATCTGCAGTACCAATCAATTTTACCAATATAGTATCAGTCCTCCTTAGCTGATTTTCAATAAACCTTAACCCAGATATGCCTACCGTCCGTTTAAACATACACTTTACAAACTCTTGTAAAATAAAGATTCGGATATCCTTTGGTAGATGGCGCCACCAAGACAATAACCTGTTGATGTTTCTTCAGCAGATTTCCAATGAGTGGTTATTAGCAGGGGGGTGACAGTGAAATAGGAAAATTGGAAACAGTCATTAGTGTCATTCCTGTCATTCTCCTCACGACAAGTATGGCCGCCTAGACAAGGACAGCATTGTTTTTGTCTAACTATTGTCTAACTTCACAGTTTAGAATTGACAGATTTCAGTTTCAGAGACAACTTCAGATTTGTTCTAGAACAAAAGGTCTTTCAAATTCTGTTTTATATAATCATCATTATTTTCAGCTTATTCAACTATTTCCAATTATGGTGTAGTCCTCCTCACATATTTAGATACTCTCTGTGCAGTTGGGCACATTGTTGTCTATTGTTGGCTATGTCCAATGTAGAATGTAGAATGTTTAGGAGGGGGATTAATCACCGCGACCTTACAGATTCATTGTGTGCTTCCCTTTCTTGAATTATAACGGGTTATAACTCATCATAGCGTCTCAGGGCTCCAGATGCAAGTTCTCCATCTTCGACATCAGCCGTACCAAAGTTTTTTGCACGAACGGTTGTCATTTCGGTGCACTCAGTGATAAGGTGTTCTGGTGTTTCCCCATTTTCCCCACAGAATCTGCATTCGTCGTTGTTTCTCAGCTGAGGTACTCGTTGAGGAGACAGTGTCCTAGTTAAAAACCCCGTGACAATCCAAGATTGTTCTACTTAAATCAAGAAAAATCTTCGATTTTTCTCGATTTTTACCGGTTGTAAATTCTGAGGAACTTTTTCGAGTGTCTTAAACCGTTGGACGATTCCCATTCCAGGTTACGGATGGAGTCCTCCAATTCCGTTTAGCTAGTTTCCGCTTGGAAATCAGAACGGTTCGGGTCCAGTTAGTGGGGGAATGTTCGCTCGTTTTCTAGATAGATCGTTTGCTTTTTCATTGCCTTCTGTCCCCTTGTGAGCGGACACCCAGAGTAGGACTTTATTTTCTTTACCTAATTTGTTTAGTTTCTCTAGGCATTCTTTGACCAACTTCGAATTGCTGGTTACTGAGTTGATCGCTTTTAGTTCTGCTTGACTATGCAGGCCCAAGTTAAGTCCTAATATCATGGTCCCATCCCAGGTTCGATCTTCTTCTAGGTTTCTTAATTCCTCGTGCCATTTGAGAGATTTAACTCTGTGGAGGACATCTATTATCTTTTTATACAATACCGTATAATATATTACAAAATTTAAATTATAAAGAATCTATGTTATTAAAGGTAATGTGCTTTCATTTTCATTTTTGAATTAAAGAATTTTATGAAGGCAATTCGCATTCCGACACAATAAATAATAATTTAGAAACAGGGGCGGATTAAGGAATTTATTTTTTGGGGGGTGGCAAATAAAAAGTAATACAGAATGTGTAGAATATGATTTTTAGGGCGCCATTTTTGATCTAAAAGCCTAATATTTGACCCAATTTATAGATTTTAGAGAGGTCCGGGTCCCATGCCCCCCTCTGTATCCGCCACCAGAGGTGGATACAGGAATTTATTTTAAGGGGGGGCCCAAAATAAAAAGTAATGAAGAATATGCTTTTTAGGGCGCCATTTTTAACAAAAAGCCTAATATTAAACACAATTTTCAGATCTTAGGGGAGGCCCGGGCCCTATGGGCCCCCCTCTGTATCCGCCACTGTCCGCCACTATTTAGAAACATAAAAATTCATTATTATTTTAAAATTGTATTGTTATTTATTTTGTTTATTTAATATATTATGTACATGTCAGTTTTGATTTTTTAATTACCGAAAAATATAAAGCAAAATAAATAAACAGACAACATTATTTATGTTAACAAATAACTTTACACAGTCAAAGTATGATTTAAGTGAACGCATCAAGTTTAAAATTTCATACTTAAAAAATCATGATATTGTACTTCGTTAACGCTATGCTTTGAAAGGAATACATGCAACGAAAAGAAATGTGTTTGCACGGATTTGGAATATTCCATTTGATTTAGCATCTAGACGAATGAAGGGCGTGAAATGTCATTTAACTCCTCCCCCCTCCTCGAGCTCATCGTCTATCGGGAGGCTTCTGACACATATCAGCCAATGTCTAGAGGAATGGTTTAAATTATTTTCAAAATTGTGGGAATTTCCACCGATAGGTTTTCTTTTCTTCTTCTTACAGTGCCATACTCTATATAGAGCGTCGGCTACCTTTCGCATGTACTTGTGATGTGGGTCATCAGTGTTTCACAAGTACACGGGACCTACAGTTTATTGCCGAATTCGAACGACACTATTTGAGAGGCTGTACAAGGCAAATATACTCGAGGTGGTTTGCCACTGTCTTCCTTGAGGTGGCGGCTCGTTGGCCGCTCTATTTAGATAAATAAATATTTTTATTTAAATAAATAAAGCGACCGTACTGGCTGGGGTTCGAACCCAGTACCTTCCGCTCCGCAGATCGAAAAACTAAAGCTGGAGCTACGGCCGGCCAAGCTTTCTTTTAACTTATTTGAATTTGGTAATTAGTGACGAGGCAGATATTTGATAACAAAACTACCTATTTGAACAGAAACTTTACCTTGACAATTGACAATTACCTTGTTTCTTTTTCCATACATTGAATAGAATGTGACTGTAGCTTGCGATTTTTTTCCTGTTTTCTGATTGAAAACTGAACATCGATCGTATGGAGGACAATATAAATGTAAACTAATAGCTGTATCATAACTTGAGACGTTTTCCACTCTGTGAAGGCCTAATGAATCTAAAATAAAAGAAATGCTCATATTTTAGTGCTGAAGATTTGAAAAATTTGATCTTCATATTCGTCTAGTTTATTTAACCCTCAACTGGCGCGTGGTGAATTTTTGTACCGTTTACCTTGGGTCCAATGGACCCCAATTTTTTTTCAATTAAAAATAAATGATGAAGAGATTTTATAAAAAGTTTGTTATTTTAACACTGTTTACTATAAATTCAAACTTGTGAACAAACAATTTCTCTCTCTCTCTATGTCCATTCTTATTAATTCATTTTCAATAAATTAATAAGAATAGACATAAAAATAAAGTAAAACGCATTTTTTAGGAATTTTTGACAACAGAAATATAACTTGGCTAAGAAACCCATAGAAATTAAAAACCTATATATTTTATGATTTTCCCGTATTACTGAACGCACAGTTCACATATAGTTCATAATACTGAACGCACAAACAACTGAAATGTGAAGCTAAAGTAATAAATACAAATAATTTGTACGGGAAAATCATAAAATATATAGGTTTTTAATTTCTATGGATTTCTTAGCCAAGTTATATTCAAATATATATATATATATATATATATATATATATATATATATATATATATATATATATATATATATATATATATATATATATATATATATATATATATATATATAAATATATACAGGGTGTTTCAAAACAAATGCGAAAAACTTCAGGGTGTGATTCCTTATTTAAAATAAAGGGTAGTTTGCTTAATAAACGTTGGGTCAAAAGTCAACCATTAGGGAGATATCGCGGTACAAAGATGGCGGAAAAATAATGTTTTTATTTTTTATCTTGAAAACGAAAAGCGATAGACTAATAAAATTTTATGGAAGCATTACTATTATGAAAACACACTTTTTGGTAATTTTTTCACTTTTTTAAAATGAGTGGAAGGGGTTGAAATAAATTACCCCTATCATTCTTGTCAACGAAATTTAAAAGAAAATCTTATCAAACACATGCAAAAAAAAATTAATTTGGATAGCTTAGTTTGTTTAGAAACTTTTTATCTCTCGTGTTTTTTTTGATAAAACTCGCCGATTTGCAATTAAAAAATAAAATGTAAAGCATTACATGTCAGGAAAAAAACTTTTTAGATGAAGAACCTAGGGGCTGCTGTAATTTTTTAGGAAAAAATCTAGTCGGCCGCTGTCACTTTTTAGGAGGTTTCTAATATTATTTTATTTGACATTACTCTACTGCAATACGTTATTATTTTACGATCAGTTAATTATTCCGAAGCCTTTTTATGATCTATTTAATTGCGTAAAAAGGAGTTTTAATTACGTATTACATAATCAGTAAAACAATAATGGTTAATTTCACTAATGCTGAAATGGCAGATATGCATTTTATGTATGGGCGTGCAAATGGAAATTCCTTGGAAGCTTGTCGTCTTTATACAGAAATGTATCCGAATCGTAGACCTCCCCACCACAGCACGTTCACTAGGCTTCATCAAAGGCTGCATGAATCTGGAACTTTCGAAAAAAGAAGTTTGGATACCGGCCGACACCGCCAAATTCGAACACCCGAATTAGAAGTTGCTGTCTTAAATATTATTGAAGCGCAACCTGTACCAGGAAAATTGCAGCGGAATTAAATACTTGTGCATCAACTGTATGGAGGATATTAAAAGAACAGCAGTTATATCCTTACCATATACAGAGAGTTCAAGCTCTTTTACCAAGAGATTTCGAGCCGAGAATGACATTTTCCCAATGGTTTCATCAAATGAATATGGAAAACCCTTTTTTTTTGTTCAAAAATTCTTTTTTCGGACGAAGCTAGTTTCTCAAGAGATGCAATTCAAAACTTCCATAATAGGCATGTATGGGCTGAAGAAAATCCTCATTGAGTTATAGAATCTAGACATCAATATCAGTTTTCCGTTAGCGTTTGGATAGGAATTGTCGATGAACATTTAATAGGGGCCCCATTTTCTACCTTTAAGATTAACTGGTGAGTCGTATTTTTATTTCCTACAAGAATTGCCTCCTCTACTAGAACATTTACCCCTGCAGATTAGACGAGAGATGTATTACATGCATGATGGTGCTCCAGCACATTTCAGCATAGATGTACGAAGGTATTTAAATCTTAATTATAAAAACCGCTGGATAGGAAGAGGTGGGCCTCATTTCTGGCCGCCTCGATCCCCAGATTTGAATCCTTTGGATTTTTGTATTTGGGGATATTTAAAAGAATTAGTTTACGTTACACCTGTACAGGATATCGAAGACCTACGAAATCGCATAATTGCATCATGTGATATAATAAGAAATAATCCTGGACATTTTCAACACTTGTAAAAAATTTAATTGCTCCTGCAAAAGACGTTGTGTTTTTATTTGAGTTGCAATTTTTAAACTTTATTTTTTTTAACGATATTATTTTGTACTTTCATGAATTAAAATACAGAATTAAAAATGGTATTATCAAGGAAATAGTTATCAAAAGGTGTCGGACATGTTTGCTGCTCTGTATCCGAATAGACCGATACCTGGAAAATCTACAATCGCAAGGAATATCCAGAGATTTGAGACCAAAGGTATCCTAATAAATAACTGCAGATGTGAAGCAAGGCAGGAACAAAGAGAAGATGCAAGAAATGATACCAACTTGGAAGTTTTATTGTGCGTGGAAGAGAACGATGGAAAGATCAGCACAAGGAAACTTGAGGATGAAATAGGAATAGATCACACTACAGCGTTTCGAATTTTGTAACGACATAAATACTATTCCTTCAAATATGAAAAGCACCAAGAGCTACGAGATGACGTAATATGGCGACAGGCTTTTTTGTTTTGATATGATGGAAAGAGCAAACACGGATAGGGAATTTTTAAAAAACATATGTTTCTTAAATAATGAACCCAATGTTCAAAATTATCGATATTGGAACAAAGAAAACCAACACAGGTTTGTCGAAACAAGGACGCAATATCCATAGAAAGTAAATGTTTGGGCAGGGATATTCGGACTCAATATTATCGGGCCATTATTTCTTACGCGAAATTTAAATGCAGAATATTATTTGGAACTACTCGAAAATCATATTTTACCTGCTTTACATGATGCCGCTAGGGAAAATCAGGAAGTTTGGTACAAATAGATGGCTGCCCGGCAGATAGTACCCTGGCTGTTCGGGAATATTTAGACAATAGTTCTAACGGAAACGTTATTGGCCTAAATCATACAGTAAATTGGCCAGCAAGGTCTCCTGATATTTTGCCAAATGATTTCTTTCTCTGGGTCCATTTAAAACACAGGTTATACAAGGATAAAAATACCCAAATCTAGACGAGTTAAAAAATACTATTTCTGCCGAATGCAATAGAATTTCAGTTTACCAACTAGCGAATGTAAGAAGAGAATTTTATGATCGCCTGGGTTATTGTCTAGCAGTCGATGGAGGAATATTTGAACATCTTATTAAATCCTAAAGTTCTAACAATTTAATAGTACCAAAATTAATAAGTTTTTGAATATTGTAATAATACTATAATTAACCTTGTAATTGATTACTTTATTTTACTTTAATTCATATCAATTTGTGTTTATAAATACATCTTTAAGATTTCCTATGTAGGAATGAGTTTTCAATAATAATAAAGCACTAAATAGGTAAATTTCTGAAATGACAACTTCATTTGTCAATTATCTTTTACTTTGACTGGTGCTCATAAGTAAATACAGGGCCATAAGAAAGGAGAAATATTTAAAAAGAAATCGGCGATAACTCGTATACGGGCTAATCAAAAATATCTAAAGTTATTCTTTTGAAATGTGGGTTTTAGTGCTCTTCAATAAACCTAAATAGAATTATTCTCTAAAATAATTATGGAAGCCAATAATTGACCACATTAAAATGGGATTTCCTATGTCCCGTCCGACGATGTAACACCCGGCATCTCTTTCGTTTCTGGTATTGATTATTCAATTTTTTCACTTCTATAAGTAAGAAATTCAGAATCGGAGTTATGGTTACTCTTCAGAGAAAAATCAATGTCTCGACTATCTTCATATCACTTAAGTCTCTTTAAGTCACCAAACCACTCAATTAATGCTTCCTCAAAATTAGCATCCCCGTGACGCAATTTTTTTGGACTACCCACCATGCTAATAATGAAACATTCTTGGCGTGGTGGTGCCACACAGACCCCAATGAATCTTTACTTATTTCAAGAAACAATACTTGATAAAAATAAGTGCGGCTTTAACAGTTGCATATTGGTACCCTAACTTAAAGGTAAATGGCGTGGCGAGGCCTAAATGTTAAACGTAAACATTTTACAGAAGTTTAAATAGTGCTTGGGGTCCGTTAGACTCCACCACGCCAGTTGAGGGTTAAGTCAAATAAGTATTTAAGATTCAAAATAAAATTAAAGGAACGTAATATCCAATCAACATAAATAATGTTTTCACAATTTTTGTGGATAGGAATAACTCTTTCTTACAGAGGAGGTTTCTTTAGCTATCAGAATGCACAATGGACTCATTGAGGAATGAATAACACACTAACTTGTCTTAAATACTATAGGGATTTTCCTGATTCTTTAATACTATTAAGTGGCTATTTTGGAAGTTCAGCTAATATCAATATTTTCTATCAATTTAAAAAACAACTAACGTGTTTATACATAGAGTACGTGTTAAAAATTGATTATATTGATAATTTATGAATTTTTCGATGGACATTCCAGTGCCTTTTCTATTTCATTAATTTGCAAATATGCGAAGCACATTTCACAATTATTTATCATCACTTTTACTGTCTTAAAATTCTCGATGTGTGTAACGTTCATAAATATATATGTATATTATTGTTGCTAAATAGATAATAACAGTTAGACTTTCTAGATAAACAAATATTTAGTACGTCAGATTCAACAATTTTATTTCTACAACAATTTTAAGTTCTACTTAAGAAATAATTCTAGATCTCGCCAAATACATATAGGGGCAATATTCTATCGTCATTTCCGAATGCCATTAAGCAGTAAATGATGGGGTACTACTAGGGGCGGATACAGAAATTTATTTTAGGGGGGGGGGGCAGATAAAAAGTAATGAAGAATATGCTATTTAGGGTGTCATTTTTAACCCAAAAGCCAAATATTTAACGCAATTTATAGATTTTAGGGGGGGCCCGGGCCCCATGGGCCCCCCATTGTATCCGCCACTGGGTACTACAGAGATTGTGTTTGCATCTATCTATCTATTTATCTTATATACCGGGTGTTTCTCAAAAGTGGCTTACCCCTATAATTTTAGTTAGTATAGGATAGGCTTGGTGCATTACAGTTATTACATTATACCGCAGTGCTCGATACGGCAGAGATCAGAAGTTTTCGGCTGTGTATTTTACGTAGTTCCGATGTCGATCGCATTGAAATAATATTAAAATCGTGGCTTTGTCATAATATAAGTATTTTAGTTTTTAATGGTGCAGTTATTTTGAAATTGAAACTATAAAATACTCAGGTTTGTGTGATACGAAGTAGTTTCGGGTAGTAAACATTAAGTGAAAAAGAACCCGAACTGGGCGTCGCTTTGTGTTGTGACAATTTCAAATGTTAATAAAATTATCGATAAAAATGGTGTGTTACGAAACAAAGCAGAATCGGACCTATTAGTGGAGTGCTTTAAGCCCTTATGGGATACAAACCTCGGAATTCATTTACTGTGAACGAATTTTTATAAAACTTTTTGCATTGTATTGTTAATAAGATATATTACAAAGTTTACCGATTTAAATTCGTTGCTTTCACTTTAGTATTTAAATAAACACGCATATACAAATGCATACATACAAGATGGTTCCGTGTTCGAAAAAGCTCTGTATTAGTATTCCTATTTGAGATTTTCACTCCAAACCTTTTACAAAATATATTGTATTTAATGGTAGTTCACATTTCACAAATATTTTTATAAATATACAAGGCGAGTCAAATATATTTTTACACTTAAGTTTTAGTTTTTCAAATTAAATGCTTTATATCTGTGCAGTGAATTTGCTATAAAATTCCGGTTCCAAAAATACCTCAATACCATAGAGTATGCTAAGTGGTTTTTGAATTATGTCCACGTCCATGAGCACGTCAACCTAGACGTCCAGGAACCTTCGTATGAGAACTTCTAATCAAGACGATCGACTTGTTGTAAGTTTAGTCTGCTTCGGGACCAGAACTTACTAGATCTGTTGACTAGGACGAGGTTGTTTTGACTAGGAAAGCAAAGGCATGGTTTTAATGTAAAAATTACGAAAAAATGTTAGTGTCTTCTTCAAAAGCGAATATCTCCAACAAAAATAAAGCTAACGAGATGAACCGAAAAACAAACTATGGAGAAAGGATGTATCTAGACGATAAATTGATTTTTAAATTTCTTGCTGTTTTAACATGTTCCACAGGGTGTTTCAAACTTTCACCAAAATACCAACATTTTGTTTTTCCTTTATAATTAACAGATAATTTGGCTACATACTGCTTAAAAAATCATCAAAATCGGCCCACTAGAACAAAATATATTAAACTTTAAAATACCTCAAAGTTTTAAGTTGCCCATTTTTCGTGCCGGTGAATGTATTTCAAAAACTATACATTTAAGTCATATACTTTTCTAATGAAACTCGCCTTTATTTTTTTACTAGAATCCGAAAATCAATTAATATATAGGGTGTTCCATTACAAAAAACATAACTTTGATGTGTAACTTTTTGTGGGGACACCCTGTAGAACTCTATATAATTTTAGAAAATGCTATAAATTGACTTACATAAGCTCACAAAATTTCACTTCAATACAAACTTTTGTTCTCCTTGCAAAAACCGTGTCGTATATGACGCGCTACCCTGTATAATTCGATTTCAATCAAAATTTCAATGATTAGAATATAAGCAGAATAGGTATATCTTATGCATTAGATTTATTTATTTCAATAAATTTACTTAGAAAAAGAATTAAGAAAATCAAAAAATTAAGAAGGAAATAATTAATAATTTACTAAAATTACTAAAATAAAAAATTAAAAGCAACGGCAACGAAAAAAAAAATGGGTAAACATAAAAAAACATATTTTATCTGTAAAACACAATGCAGAAGGTTTCACATTAATACATTGACAGTAATTGAATTCCGAGGTAAAAGTCTCTGGGCACTCCACTAATATATTGATATGAAAAATACATCTTATTTTTACGCGAGGAACTCTCCACGATAGATGGCACATGTTATTTGAAACACCCTCTATATTTAACGAGGATATTTTTATAATCCTTACCGTTAATATAACAAACATCGTTAAGGTTTAATATTTTTCTACCAGATTCCTTAAGTTCGTCCTCTTCTTCTTTTGGCCAGTCGTATCTGACTTCCTCTAATGATCCCTGTAGAATTTTCATAAAGCAGTGTGAGTTTGCGTGGTCGTGAATACTGGAACCGTGACCTTCGCCCCAACAAAGTGCCATTAAGTTATATTTTCCATTTCCATCGTCTACTAAGTTCCTCGTGTATCTAAAATGGAATAATTTTATTATTTTTTTAGTTATAGTTCGCTTATATACCGGGTGTTTTTTAAAAGTGGCTCTCCTCTGTAACTTTTTTATTTTTACAGATAAAAAAACAAGATTTGGCCTGCTAGCATATACACAAAACATACATACATAAATCGGGATTGATTGACCTATTTAATTAGTGTCGGTCACTTCCTTTTTCACCCAAATTGACTACAATTTTTGATTTTTAAATGGTACCATCGATATTTTGTACTTTATTTGATAAATTTTTGAGATTTTCGCTTACAAACATATAGTATTTACAATTAATTTGAAACCACTTGATTAAAAATTAATGTTAAAACAACTAATTTAAACAAGAAGCCTTGAAAAAATACATTTCATCGTTGTTGAAATGAAACTTGGTAGCTCGTTAGCTTATTTGAAAAAATACATTTTTTAACGAATATACAGGGTGTCCCAGACTGATCGTGCATTAGAAGTTTCTAGAGAACTACAATATCTAGATCGGATATTTTTTGCACATCATTGTTCTACAACGAGATCTATCGATTAATATTTTCAATATGGCGGCACTTCTGGAAATACCGGAAGTTGACAGCAACTTTCTTATTTTAAATCTGTGCCACCATTTTGTAATACATGTAGAATGTAGAATGTTTAGGAGGGCTATTGTGTGTTCCCCTTTCTTGAGTTATAACGAGTTATAACTCATCATACAGTCTCAGGGCTTTAAGAAAAGCCAGTATCTGAGACGGCTCCACACAGGCCAGCTCTCCATCCTCGACATCAGACGTACCAAGGTTCATGGCACGAATGGTCGTCGTCTCGGCGCACTCAGTGATATGGTGTTCTGGTGTTTCCCCATTTTCCCCACAAAATCTGCATTCGCTGTTGTTTCTCAGTTTCAGCCTACTGAGGTGTTCGTTGAGGAGACAGTGTCCTGTTAGAAATCCCGTGACAATCCGAAGATTGTTTTTACTTAAATCAAGGAAAACCTTTGATTTTTCTCGGTCATAAGTTCTAAGAAACTTTTTCGAGTGTCTTAGACCGTTGGAGGACACCCATTCCAAGTTACGGATGGAGTCTTCCAGATTCTTCAGTTCCGCTTTCAGTTGGTTCCCGTTTGGAAAGCAGAACGGTTCTGGTCCAGTTAGTGGAGTGTTCGCTCCTTTTCTAGCTAGATCATTTGCTTTTTCATTGCGTTCTATCCCTTGGTGAGCAGGCACCCAGAGTAGGAGGACTTTATTTTCTTTGCCTAATTTGTTGAGCTTTTCTAGGCATTCTTTGACCAGCTTCGAATTGATGATTACTGAGTTGATCGCGGTAAGTGCTGCTTGACTATCGGATAGGATGGCAATTTCCTGTTTTCGATAGTTCCTATCTAAGATAAATTGTACGCATCTTTCGATAGCGCAAATTTCTGCCTGAAGGATACTGGGGTAGGTGCCCATTGGTTCGGAGTATTCAGTTTTCGGCCCAAATACTCCTATCCCTGTCCCTGCTTTGGTTTTAGAAGCATCAGTATACCTCGTGATGGTATGGTCTTTTATATGCTGAATAAGCGTTTCTTTCTTCCAATCCTTTTTATTACTCAATACCAGTAGCGTAACTTCAAATGTGAGGCCCCCCCGCAAGATTTTTTAGGGGCCCTTATATTAAAATAAAAAAAAAACACTAAAAAACATAATATAGCTTTATGTAGGTATATCAAGTCATTTTATATATATAAACAAAAATTTAACTTATTCCACATAAGAAAAAATAATAATAAAGGAATATAAAAAATAAAACTTTAAAAATAAATCAACATAAAACAAAACTTAGGTACTAAAAGAAAACTAAATAATAAAAATAAATAAACATAAATATAATTTTTCTAATAAAAATATGATTCAAATTAAAATAAATTAATAGGAACAAATAAAATGTAAAAAAGGAACAAATAATGCGGGGCCCTCAAAATCACGAGGCCCCCCCGCCACTGCGGGTGCAGCGGGGCCTACGCTACGCTACTGCTCAATACTACAGTGAGGTGTTTCTCAAAGTTGTAAATTCTTAGTATGTCATCCACTGGGAGTTGTAGAAGTGGAATTTTCTTTTTGAGGGTGTTCCAAGCCCCTGACCTGAAAATTCTCCCAGTACTATTTCCGTCAGTAACCATTCTAATCATTGTCGCATTGGCATAACTACCGACGACAATGTGCAGTGGTGTTAGGTCTAGAATGACCTCCATTGCTGCTGTTGGACATGTTCTCATGGCACCTATGATGCAGATACATGGCAGTCTCTGTACTTTGCACAGGTTTTGCCTTGCTGTAAGTTGCTCTAGTTTTGTATACCAAGCAAGTAATCACCTCTTAGTCTTACTATCATGGTATACATCCAGCGCAAAATGTTAGGGGCGCAGCCCTATCTATTTCCCGCCAGTGTTCTGCATATCATGAGAGCCTTTGTGGCTTTGCTGGTAATGTTCTTAATATGCCTGTTCCAGAGAAGTTTACTATCCAGGGTTATTCCCAGATATTTCACTTCCTGTGATGGCAGTATTTCCTTTCCATCTAGATGGATTCTTTTCAAGTTTTTCAAACTTCGCTTTCTGGTGAATGGCACTACTGCGGTTTTATCTGAGTTAATACTCAGCCCGACAGTCCTGCACCATCTATCAGCGATGCGGAGTCTTCTTTGGATAATATCACACAGGGTGCCTTCATGTTTCCCCCGTGCAATGATAACTATGTCATCTGCGTACCCTATGCAGTGTATTCCCGCTAGAGTTAATTCTTCCAGTAGTTCATCCACTACCAAGCTCCACAGTAGGGGGGAGGTCATTCCACCTTGTGGAGTTCCTTACATTGTTTTAACAACTACAGTTTTGGTACCTATCTCAGCCTCTGCTGTTCGTGTTGAGAGCATTTCCCAAAACCAGCGAATTATCGTACTGTTCACCCCTCTTGTTTCAAGAGATCGCTTGACCACCTTGTGAGGTATATTGTCAAAGGCCCCTGCAATGTCCAAGAAGGCACTAGCTGCTGTTTCTTTGCTATCCAGGCTTGCCTGTATTAGCTCAGTTAACTGGTACAGAGCAGTTTCTGTGGATCTGCCCGCTCTATATGCATGCTGACTATCGTGCAGTGGTTTAACCTGTAGATGATTTACTCTAATATGGTTGTCCACTACTTTCTCCATCGTTTTTAATATGAACGATGTGAGACTAATAGGCCTAAATGATTTGGAGTTAGCCCAGTCAGTTTTGCCTATTTTGGGTATGAAGATGACTTTCGCTCTTCTCCAGATGGTTGGTATATATGAGAGTACTACTCTTTTTGTAATACATACTTAAATTCTCTGTAAAATTCATTGGCGTAACTACAGGGGTGCCGCCTCCCCCAGGTACTGCTGGGCACCCCCCAGAGAAATCCTGAATTATGACTCTTGGCTACGTTTTGTTGTGTTCAAAAAATGTGTTAATTTTTATTTTTTTAGAAAATTTGTAGGTATTTAAGTAATATACGGGAACAGGGTTTGATAACCAAGTCTATGAAATTTATTGATAGAGAAATTCATGTAAACGTTTTATTCAAAAAATGTGTTTTTTAAAATTATTTTTCATTTTTAAACAAACAAAAGCCCTAGCCTCCCCCTGGGCTCAACCCCAGGCCCCCCTGACCTACCCCAGGATACATTTCTAGTTACTCTAATGGTAAAATTCTATGAATATTGATGTTAAACACTCTATATCTAACATTAACCGTTTTTGAGAAAAAATCATTTAAAATTTTTGGACGAAAAAAACTACCTGTCAGAAAAACGTGTACCTATAGCCTAAACGTCAAATTTGGTGATTACCACAGCCACTGTGACATAAAGAGAAGACATGTGTCTATCTATTCCAAAAATTAAATTGTTCAAATCTCATATAATAATGGTGGTAGCTGTCATGGAATTGAGCGATTAAAAAATTATCATAAATCATTTTTTCAAATGGAACCCACTTTTTTATTCAACTAGGGAAAAGGTTTTCCAATTGGTTACTTTTTGAGTATACATGTTCCTATACCTAAAATAAATCGTTTTTAAGTTATTTAGGAATTAGTTTGAAAACGTTTGTATATTTTTCTTGATTTTATCTAGTTTCCTTTGACATTAAGTGTCAAACATTTAGACAATTTATTTCCATCTGTCAGAAAACGAAATTAATTAAAACAATGATTTATGATAATTTTTTAATCGCTCAATTCCATGACAGCTGCGGTCATTATTATATGACATTCGAAAAATTTCATTTTTGAAATATATAGCCACATGTCTTCCCTTTATGGCACAGTGGCTGTGGTAATCATTAAATTTGACGTTTAGGCTATACACAGATTTTTGACAGGCAGTTTTTTTTTCGTCCAAAAATTTTAAATATTTTTTTTCTCAAAAACGGTTAATGTTAGGTATAGAGTGTTTAATATAAAAATTCATAAAATTTTATAGAGAACTTAGGTATGTGATAAAAAATGGGGGCACCCATTTAAAATAAAAATGTTGCTGTCAACTTCTGGTATTTTCGGAAGTGCCGCAATATTGAAAATATTTTTAATCGATAGATCTCGTTGTGAAACAATGCTGTGCAAAAAATCTCCGATCTAGATATTGTAGTTCTCTAGAAATTTGTAATGTGCGCTCAGCCTGGGATACCCTGTATATTTTGAGACAAATTGTCGTTATGAACACACCTTTGCATTCTAGATTGATGAATTAAAATACCATTTTTTAAATCGAAATTGTCAAAAGTTGACATATGATATTATGTGATTCTATTCAGAATGTTTTGAATATTCTATCAAATAAAATAAAAAAAATATATGAAATGAACATAAATTTATTAATAAAAAAATATAGAGTACCGTTTAAAAATCAAAAGTAGTCATTTCCGGTGAAACAGGAAGAGACCGAAAATAATTGAATACGTCAATCAATCCTGATTGGTGTCATATACTGACATACTTT